AAAGTTTAGGATTTACTCACGGCGGTTTCCTGAGGAAGTTGTACTGGCAGAGGATGGTGATGAGGAAGCCAATGAAGCCTTCAATCGCCATGGCAACAAGTCCTTGAGTCACAATGTCCCATTCAAATGGAGATTTTATCTTGTCGAACTGTCCTGAAACATAAATATCAAGTGTCACTATCGCATTCCATCTGACTGTATTTCTAAAAAAATTCTAAGTCGAGGGTCCTGGAAAGCTGTTTCTGTTTCTTAATGGCCATGAGTGTTCTTTCTACATGGTGTGCTATAGGCAGTGGGTACTATTGCTCATCATCGTGTTATTCTTGGCACAATCGGCACCAGGGGCCCTCTGGAAGTCCTCTGCACAGTTGTTGAAAACAACAACAATGTGAACCGGTCAGGCATGTATCATGTTTCCCTGACTCTCCATCCACACTTGTTCTGTGTGCGATAGTTCCAAATACCTATTTTGGCGTAGTACTCGTTGAGGTACTCGTTGTAAGCCATCTCCATCAGGCCATGACCCAGGTTATAGTTGGGGAAAATGAGGAAACAGGTTTTCAGGTAGCTGTTCACATTTTTCAGATCCTGGAGGAGAAGAAGGTAGTCAAAAACTAAATAAAGATAAATCCGACATCCTCTCTTCCTTTTGATGGCAAAGCGAATGGCAGAATTTAACCCTCATGAGTTTTTTTTTTTAAGTATTGTCTTAAGACCAGAGATTTTTTTGTCCAAAATCATGTCATCATCATATCTATCTTTCTTTGACCTGAATGACATTTTTACTTATCCCAAAGGTGATTTATGAATTCAGTTAAAAAAACATTAATACTGTAACCTACAGAGTTTATGCTTTTACAGTTAATCTAAGCATTTTCTTACAAGCATAAGGATCTAAAAAAACAGTTAAGCACCTTGTCGTGTTCAAAGAGCTGAAGGAGGAATGTGGCGACAGTCGCTGTGATGCCAATGAACAGGTTGATGACTATCAGGAACACATAGGCTGTACTGGGGACTTCAAACCAGAACGAGGCTGGATACATGATGGGAGTTATGGACCATCTGGAAGGAGAAACTCACATGGGTAAACAGTACATTAAGATCATTGCAAAAACCAATAAACAAAAAACAAACATTTATTTCTGTGGCCCAGGAACCTGGTTGACAAACTTATTCTCATTACTGATAGTTAATAAGGAAAATGTGTGTCCTCTCAGAAGTCTCACCCATAGAGCAGAAAAAGCGAGAGGACAGCTGGGAAGTTGGTTCGGGAGGTGTAGGCTGGCAGGTCAAACACAAAAAGAATAATAACGCAGCATGTGGCAGGTACCAGGTAATTCAGCTACGGAAACAAAAGAGAAGAACACGTCACATTGCACAGTGCTTCTACCTTTCCTAAAGGTTGCCTTTGTCCCACTCATTATATTCCTTCCTTACCATATCCCAGATGTAGTTGGCCAGCCAGTATATGACCGGGTCACAGCCACTCACAAACTGCAGGTGTTTGGCCTTGGTGGATTTCTCTGCCACCAGGAAAACCACAAAGCTGGCAGGTACAAAGGACATGGCCACGATAATGAAGATGGCGATCACCACGTCAGTGCCCTGGAGCCTGGAGATACAGGAAAGGGTAAAGAAAACTGCACAAACTGTCAAACAAATAAAGCCTCGTATTCATCGTAATGCTGAATAAAATGCATGATTTGGGATGGTATGAAGAGACCGGAGAACATGGTCCCAAGCTGGGATTCAAACCGGGAACCTCCTTGCTCTGAGGAACTTACAGGTAGTCCAGAGAGAGGCTGGCGCTTGTTCGATTCATCGGGTGGTTTGTCAGTGTGATACCTATGAAAGCCAGACATTCACAAGGCAAAAGAAGAGGAGTTTTGAATAAAATATCTAACCATGTATCATCACATACATGGAGAGAACATTCTTGGAAAAACATTATTCGTTTCTTTATCACACCCAAATTGAGAAGCAAATATAAATCTACAATTTTTGCAATATTTGGCTACCAGATACCCAAAACATTCACAGTGTTGTATCTGGGAAATGTCTCAGGAAATATTTTGTGTAAATCTGACAGGTACATGTTTAAAATCCTGATCGTTGCCAGTAAAAAACAATCACCAAAAAATGGGACAAAAAAGACCCCCTTAAAAGAGAGAGAATTGTTAAGGACATATATGTCATGGAGGACTTGACCCACAGAATAAGACTAAAGATGAACTCCAGTGTGGAAAAATGGAAAAAGTGGATTACATACATTGCAGTGACTAATTGAACATATGGGACATTGTTTACCAGCTTATCCCCATAGTATATAGTTTTGTTTATGTTGTGTGTGTGTTTGTTTCTGTTTTATTCCTCTCCTTTTTTCTTTTTCACCCCTTGTAATTGTCAACAAAGAAATATAAAAACATCTACCCATGATAAAAACGGCCTTATATGACCTCACCGTAGGCAGCTGGGTTGCCCTTGGATGGAGGCAGGTTGGCACGCAGAATGGCGTTGTTGAGGACGTTCAGATATGTCGGCATGCTGTGATAGCCTTTGTTGTTGTACAGCACCTGGATGCAGGAGGTGGCTCTGTCAGAGACATGTTGCACGGCAGCTGTCGGCTTCGGGCGCGGGGCCTCTCTTACCTGGGCAGATCTGCGAACGGCTATCTTGCGGACCATGGGGGGAATCTTTATGCCGAAGGACGCGGGCACTGATTTCTGAATATTCCCCACTGTCAGACAGCCATATCTGTGCATAAACATAAAAACAACTAGAACAACGGTTTCTCAGCAAAGCTAGACATGCTGGAGAGATTATGGCTGGTAACTATGCTGAGGTCTTCAGTTCTAATTTAATGTAAGGGCTGGAGAAGAAAATTAAAGATGGAGACACAAACAGGAAACCTCAAGAATTATCTAAAAGAGAGAAAAAGAATGAAAACATTAACAAAGTTTAAACTGGGAAGAGGGTAAAGTGGCAAACTGAACAACTATTTTGGAATAAATAATATTCTATATTTGAAAATTAGCAAAAAAATGCAGCTATACTGATTACCATGGGTCTTTGCCTCTCCATCACTCAGTACAATTAGGTTTTGTATGGTCATACATATATGTACATACTCCCACTTGTGCTTTCGATACAGTATTCGGGGGATGGGGGAGATTTAGTGACATACTGGGTTTACAGCTCACCAGTGGAACCAATAGCTAACAACTGAAAACTAATTGGAACTTTTCTTTCCCACCTGTGCAGCCGCAACCTGTCCGATGTGAAGAGCAGATATTCCGAGACGTTTCTCCCCGTGATGTCCACCAAGATGTCCCCCGTCACCACTTTCATGACAGGTGGACGCCCCCCCACGCCGCTGGGGCAGGAGAAGCCCGTGCCCTGCATGGAGCAGGTGCAGCGCACTGGTTCACGGATGGATAAAGGGAGGCTGGGAGGAGACGTAACAGGCTCTGCGCAGAAGGAAAATAAAGCATTTACCCAGATTAGACTTCTGAAGAACATTTAGGGTATCATAGTAAGGTGGAATGACAAATGTTGCCAAAGGCTCGGGGCCGTGAACTCACCAGGGACAGTAGCTGGAGGAGCGACTGTAAAGTTCCACAGCTCATCCTCAAAGTGAGCTTCTGGGTAATCAGATGGTGCCGGTGAAGGCGGAGGGGGAACAAAGTTTGAGAGGGGGACTCCTTGGGTGAAGGAGTCCAGACACATGGAGTCGAAGTACTGGGCGGCCAGAGTCTTGGAGTTGTTGGCATTGGGATTGAGGGTCTGGGCCAGCTGGTCCAGGGTGCTGTTGAAAGGGGTTTTTAGGACACACGTCGCCCCCACGCCTGAGGGCAGACGGAGGGTGTTGACGATCTTTTGTGGACTGGCATCTGGAGAAAGCATAATCCTAAAAAGAATTCCAAGGATTATTTGATCAGACTACTTCCAAGTCACAAGCATTGTTCTAGCATTGTGTCAGTGATGACTAGATAAACTTAAAAATATGGTTGAACACACCTAATTTAGGGGGTCAAGGCCCAAAGTGGGGCAAAAGAGGGCAAAAGCAAGTGTGGCCTGATTAAATTAGGGACTGTAAAGACAAGCAATCCCTCCAGACAGACAATGACCATTAGCCCAATAGTGATTATGGCTGCTAAATAAATTAATGTGATGTTCCACACTCCCTCTACAGCTCTCTCACAAACTAAATCAGACACACCCAGCATCTGATTGGTGTTATCTTAGAATGGAAGCTACCACAGAAAACCTCAGTAGTTTTAACTTAATTTGGGCTCATTATGTTGCAAAACCAAACCAGAAAAAAAATAAACAGCCACACATAATTTGTTTAGTTAAATACAAACAGCGTGTTTTTAGGCAATTCGGTGTACATTTGGCCAAAAAAAGCATGGGGAGTAATAGAAACATAGCTAGAAAAGAAACTTTTTTCTACCTGTATGGGGTTCTGTCTTCGTTGGCATAAGGGATGAAGTTGCCTCTGGGTTGGGTGTAGTTATGATATTGAGATGGAGACAAGATCAGTGGTGGTAAATCCCCTGTGAAACAAGGTAAAGAGGTCCACCAGTTACTTCTTCTTCTGTGCTTATCTGTGTTGTGTCAACAACTGCCTTCCAGTATGCTCTACAGTCTCTCCACCAGAGACACTTGCATAGAGTTACATCCAGGACTCACTCACCAGGGCTATTATTCAACCTATTTCTTTGACTTTTTTTGTGGAGAAGGATAACACCCACAGACGTTGTACTGATTACAGAGGCCTTAACAAGATCACTGTCAAAAATAAATACCCGCTTCCACCCATCTTATCTGCATTTAATCCCATCCAAAGGGCTTCTTTTTTCACAAATAAAGGACAGTTACTGTCAGTACACCCCTGGGACCCTTTGAATATCTGGTTATTCCATTTGCACTCACCATGCAGAACTTTTCCTCAACCAGTGGTTACCGTGTACTTCGAGATATCCTAAATCTCACCGTCTTTGTGTACCTGGGTGACATTTTGAATTCCCCTCCTTTTCTTGTGCAAACAACATGTCTGCATGGTCCTTTAGTTTGCTATATGAAACCACATCTGAGGGTAAGCAGGTGCCAGCGGATCCCAGTAAGATCGAGGCTACAAAAGAATGTTCAGTGCCTATCAACCTCAAACAATCTCAAAGAAACTTGAGAAACTACAGACGGATAACCTCACCAATCAACTAACGGCCCTCCCCTAAAGCTCCTTTTTGTTGGTACTGTAAAGCAGATTGCCCTTCAATCTGGGAGCTGTGAGTTGTTGGCTGTTAAACCGGAATAAGATGAGTGTAAGCACTGGTTAGAGAGCTCAAAGTGCTGGAAAAAATAGGTTACACTGGTTGATTTGCTTCATTTGATGATAGAGGAGGAACAGAGAAGTACTGTGAATCAACTAGAAACCATTTTAAATTTCCAAAAGAACATCATCATCATTAGGGAGCACAAGATCTGCCCTTTCAAAAGTCAGAACAAGAAAACATCAAGTGGTCCGAAAAACAGCTGGAGCTATTGTACAGCCACCCCCCCTTCTCCAAACAATAAAAACTTATAACATCAACATTACAACTGGACATGACAGCTCTCCTGCAACATGATGCCCATTCTTCTGATGGCCTGAGAGAAGCCTAGGAAACACACACACACATGCTTACCAATCGCAGGTACTGATAAAGCCACAGTCATAGCAACACAGACGAAGAAAGCAGGCAGGAGGATCTGGGAGAAAAGGCCCTTGGTGTTCCGCTTGGCACAGTGGAACCTCTTGATGATGAGACCGTGGAACTGACTCAGTTTTAGCCACCAACCCTCCAGCCGGAGGCTGCCCTGCTCGTCCAGGGCTGGGAGCGGTGGGGATGAGGAACTTTCCTCATCACCTGCAGATGAGGTCAACAGGAGAAGCTGATGAGATGCAGACATGGGTCTTTCACTTTCAACCCTAATGGAATCAATATTTGGGCAACATCTTATTCTTTGTACTGGTTTGGTAAAAACATGTTTTCATAAAACCATTTGAAAATATATTCAGCTTCTGTGTGGCAGACCTGCTTCAGGTGTTTTTCCCAGCTGGCTTCTTTTTCTCTTTTCCATTTTGTTGAGTTTGTCTAGATTACAAAAAACAGGCAACTTGTTGCAAAGAACTGTCTTCCTCCATCATATTGAATTAAACAAATAAATCATTAACTGTTACGATGATCTCCTCTTTACTTTAGAATAACAAACATCACTCCTGTAAGCCCTACAGCTTCTATAATGCTGATGTCAGATGTCTTACCTCTGGCGGTAGCAGAGTCCGGCTCTTCATAGTTGTCAAAAAGTGGACAGTAATCTCCATAGAAGTCTGAATAAAGCCCTCCCTCGTCCCCTCTCACTGAGCCGACGGATGAGGAGGATTTGAGTGAGGACTGGCTCTGGCTCAGCTTGGAAGATGACAGTAAACTGCTGGACTCCACTTCCGGGTTCTCGTTTTCCTCGTTGGCATCTCCCTCTGCCAGTGGTTCCGCCTGGGTCTCCGAACCCACCGAGGACTTCCCTACCGAGCTTCCCCCCGGCGAACCCTTCCCATCTACCCAGAGGACAGACATAGAAAGACAGAGATGATGGTTATGATCACTAGCTGGTGCCAACCTGGGACATAAAAATGGCTAATGCTAGTAAAAACAGTTAGCCAGTGCAGAACTTGTACAAATCTATCAAAATCTGTGAAGGCGCTGAGTTATCTGGACATAAGGGGGAGGAATGTGACCTCACCGGCATCGCTGTTTTCTATAGAGTGGTCTTCCTCCGATACTTTGAGGAACACCTCCTCCAGGGTGGTGTCCATCACGCCGAAACTGGTTAGTGCCAGGCTGGTGAGGTTCTGCTCCAAAGCCTGGAGGCACACACAGCAGGAGAGAATGTTCGATCACTAAAGCAGCCCCACATGAGGAAGTCGAAGCCATATTTCTGATACTTTCCTCCAAATAGTATGAGATGGATAAGATGTCCAGAGATGTCAGCTCTGTATATGTGACACGATATGAGCTAACTGTCAATGGCTGAGACAAAGCACCAACAGGTATCTTTTGGGAGTTAGTTGTTTAACTCTATATACTGTGATCAACCAGATTAACGTGAGGAGAGTGGTGAGGACAGCAGAGAGGATCTTCGGGGCTCCTCTTCCTCCACTCTCATCCCACTCCTCCACCATGATCGGCTCTCCCTGCTGCCCTCTGAGAAGAGGGCAGCTATACCACAGCTTTTTCCCCTATTGCCATCAGACTGTTAAATTGTTGAATTCTTTTCTTGTCGTAAAGTGTATGCAACAAAATGTTCTTCCTGTTTGCCCTCTGTACATACAAAATGACAGTAAAGTTGTGTAAGTCTAAGCCTAAAATAACCTGGGCATGATTTGGGCTCAAAGTAAACTGCTGCAATATTCCTACTCCATATGTCAACAATATTGAAACCCTTCACAAATAGGCTATACTTTTTCAAACGGGACGGCTTGCATCCAAATCATACAGGATGTAATCTTTTATCCATGATCATTAAACTGATTATTGACTCCAATAAAGTAATTTTATATCTCTCTCTGTGTGCCTTTATTTCTAGGAGACTAGATTATTGTAGTACCTTACTTTCTGGTCCTCCCAAAAAGAAGAGTTTTGGTTCAAGTGACTCCAGAACTCAGTGGCACTTGTTATGACCTAGACCCCCCCTCCTCGTCGGATAAAGAGGGTTTGGAAAACGGGTCGATAGCTTGTGGGTGCGTCCTCGGCCGTGCGTACCTGGAACAGCCTTTCAAAGCAGCCCTTCTTGACGGCCTCGGAGGGCAGGATGTAGGACAGCTCCGTGTTGGAGTCGGACACCAGCAGGCAGGACGCCACAAACTGGCAAATAAACTGGGTGACCCGAGCCTCTGAGCAAGGCAGCGCAGCCGCGGACGGGGACAGAGAGGAGGCAGGCTGCTGCTGGCTGCCCTGGCCTGAGAGAGGACAAAGGAAGGAGGGAAACAAAAGAGAACATTTGAAATTAGACGATAAACAGTAAGAGGGAAAAAAAATTAATGCAGGCTATAAGCTGTAAATTCACATTTTATCAGCTTGAAAAAAGAAAAGAATAAAGCTATAGTTCATACCATACATAAGCTTTTAATAAGATTTCACGATACAGTAACAATTCTTTCCTATTAGTTATTTCATTTACTGCAGAATATTATATTTTTATACTGTTTGGATTTTCAATACTTATTATTATTACTCATTTAGTTTAGTTAGTTTGTTCTATCTTCTTGTTCTACAGTTTTTTAGCATTTTTTTTCTCTATTCTACAATTATCTTACTGGGCTTCTACTGGAACCAGAGTAACTAATTTCATTTCACCTGTTTAATGCAGAAACATACATTGCTGTAATGATAACTAAAAACTGCTTGAATCCTAGAGATCCAATCTCTCTTTCACGTATAAAAATGATCCTTTATTCTCTCAAAAAGATAAGGCTTCAACCTTTCCTTTTTGATAAACCTTTAGTTAGGGATAGCTCAAGTGACCCCGAAACATCCCGTAGTTATAACTGTCAATCTTTTTCTCAACCTTTCAAATCTCCAAAAGAAAAGTAAAATCCCTGTTTGGACTTTGAAGACCTTTCAATTGGAACTCATTTAGATTTTTTTCATTAACGCAAAGGAAGCAGACTACTTTGAAAGCCCTCGAGAAAACTTTTTTGTACACAGGCACTGTATAAACTAAATAGATCTGAATGACAGAGTAATTCCTTCTCAGGTTGATTTATCCATTAGCACATTTGTTTTGGGACTTGTAAAAGTCTTTCCTGTCTTGTTCATTTGTTTTCTGAAATGTTAACGTGTCTCAGAATTTTCAGTGTGCATTTGTATTTCTCGTCTGCCAAAGAATTCAAATTTAAGATCAGACAAACAGGCTGTGGTGTTTGTGTCCACTATAAACATTACTGATATAAAATCCATACGTGTACACACCTCGACCTTCAGCCTGCTTTTTGACCAGTGTCAGTTTGTATCCATCTCCATAGGTGCTCTTCAGGAACAGAGGAGAGCCACAGCATTTGAGCTTCCCGTGCGAGATGATCGCGATCCGATCTCCCAAAAGGTCTGCTTCATCCATATGGTGGGTCGACAGCAGAATAGTTCGGCCTACGGTAAAGACAGAACAAATAGAGACACATATGAAACCTGCATTTCTCCTTAATGATACGATAAGAAACTTTAGAACAACAGAATATGAATCTGTATCAATAATGTAAACCTATGTCACATACAAGTCACATTTTAAGATGTTAAGATCATAAACAATACTATGACTGGCCTCGTTTGTATTTCAGGATGAGGTCCCAGATGGCCCTGCGAGCATAGGGATCCACCCCCGCGGTGGGCTCGTCCAGGATGACGGCTCTGGACCCCCCAACGAAGGCGATGGCCACGGACAGCTTCCTCTTCATCCCACCGGACAGCGTCTGCACCAGGCTGTGACGCTTGTGAGACAACTCCAGGTCCACAATCATCCTGGACACATACACAGTTAAGAAATGTAGAACTTGATGCCGTGATGCAGGTCTTATGGTCACATCTGGACGGTGCCTATCTGTGCTGGTTTAGCTTATGATCTGCAGAAACAAATGGGTTTCTCTTGTTGTTGTAGGTTTAAGAGATTAATTAACTGTGTATTGTGCATGCTTGCTTTTTATGTAACCTTCCAGTCTCTCTGGAAACATATCTAAATGATAAAGAAGGGAACATATCGCTGATGTTGTTGCCTGAAGGTACTTTTTTAACGGATTGGTGCCAGAACCTGAGAACAAACTAACTGAAATGCACCGAACAAGCACTGACTTCTCCATCTCCTTCCGTATGTCTTCTTCGGCCATGCCTTTGAGCCTGGAGTAGAACCACAGGTGCTCCTCGACGCTCAGCTTGTCGAAGAGGACGTTGTGCTGCGGACACATGCCCAGGTTCTGGCGGATGCGCTCCATCTCCGTGCGGATGTCGTGGCCGTATATGGTGGCCGAGCCAGATGTGGGGGGAAACAAGCCTGTCAGGATGGACCTTTCGAAACAGAGGAGGCAAATATTAAAAGCACCACTGGGACCGAACAGCAGAAAAATAAGAAAATGTATGATGCATTATTTTGTAACAATGTTGACATTCATTGACATGTATGTCAATTGTCTAAGAACCTGTACTAGCCTGTACTTTTTTTTTATTTGCCAGAAAAATACTAATCTTCTGGTAAATTCTAAGTATTTACATCAAGACAGTTTGAAAATAGTTGCCTGTGCAACTGTCTATATTGTGCTAAAGTCTTATCCTAACTTACAAGGACCCCAGTTTTTCAAAGATTTATCACAATCTTAACTGCATTGTGTATGTTACAGTTCTTTGTACTATGTTACTTTACTGGGACTAACAGTAATAAAGCCAACAGATATCGCCTTATTGAACAGGCATATCAGACTTCTATTGAATCAATGGAAACACTATTCTTATGTTGCAACTTGCAGCCTGGAATATTCAGATTCCCACACCATCAAGACCCCCTTACATGGTAGTGGTCTTCCCAGCTCCATTGTGTCCCAAGAAGGAAACCACCTGGTTTTCGTGGAGGTTCAGACTCAGTTTGTTGAGGGCCAGTTTGCTGCCATTCTTGTACACCTTGGTAAGTTTGTCTATGCAAACTACCAGGGGCAGGTGGCTCGGATCCTCCTCGATACCGCGCATCTCCTCTGGAGTTTGGATGAAAAACACATAAATAAGTGGTACATCAAAACGAACATCTGATAAAAACAGTGATCTATTTTCTTCTTCAGCTGGTCCCCGGCAGTGTATCTTTTCTATCCTCTTTGTTGACCCAGTTTCAGTGGGAAACAACATAAATCGGAAACACTATGACACAATTCCCAGCAAGTTTTGATAAAATCCAGATTTTGACCAGTTTTGGTCTCTGATTTTCAAACGTTATGGCGCTCTTTCTTCTAAACGCCTACATTTAAGGCAAATTTATTGGACCTACTTCCTCCTGAAGCGACTGATCGTTCAAAATCCTCTGATAAAGAACTTTTTTTATTACGCTGAGTCGACAAACAGATTCCTGTTTAAATAAAACCAGTACTGACTCTATTTCCTGTCTTTGTTCAAGCTCACACTAACTGGTTCCGACCCGCTCAGATTTGCCAGACAAACTTTAGACAGTTCACCAGTGTATTGTTGTATATTTGCTTTTCTGTTATCTTCTGGTTAACTGATTAGATGTTTTTTAAATGTATAACCTGCTCCAACATGTTTGGAATTGAATTGCTTTTTCATCATTTAACTGCATATAGTTTTGTTTTTTATTGTAAGATGACACTATGTGTCATCTTACAAAGGTTATTGTTTTGATAATCACCATTCTTTAATCATTTCTTAGTTTTTCTTTAAGTGCATCTATTGGAGTTTTCTCTGTCCAAAAAAATTTTCCTCAGCTCACGCTGGTCGTGTTTCATACCTGACCTCCGCATGTCCATGGCACATGCCTGGTCCTCCTCCATCACACTGAGTCTGGCAGCCCTGCCTCCCCACCACGGCCAATCCCATGTCTCCACGCGCCCGCTGCCTGACCAATAGGACCTCTGCAGTGGGAAGTACCATGGCCGTGGCAGCCCGTACATACCTGCAAAAGAACGGAATTCAATCAGTCTGAAAAGATGTGTTCAAAAAATTAGGAAAAGATTAATGGAGGAGACAGAATGTTTCTTACCTGGATGAACAGCTTCTATGTACCAGGTGAGCACGCCGTACACTGCCGCGTCGATGATGAGCATCATCATAGAGAGACCCAGGTTGAAATCGTCTCCTTCTACCGGGGACTGGCTTATGGTCCGCCACTGGATCCCAACGCCAGCGACCTCATACAGCGCAAAATACTTTGACCCCAGACCAAAGGCTGTGGTGGACATGAGGGACTGGACAACGGGGGAACAAGTCAGGATGGATTTGAATCTTCTGGGTCATTTGAGTAAAATACTAATAGGTAATACGGCCTTACAGCAATGCACTTCTCGAAGGCAGTGATCTTATCATGGGCGACCTCCTCTCTAATGGCTACGTACATGTAGGGCACATAGCTGAGAAAGTAGATGATTCCTCCACAAGCTGAAGCCAGTTTCGCTTTGGAGTAGATTACAGACACTAAAAAGCTAAAAGCAAACACAAGAATGAGACTTGTGGATTATCAAATGTCAGGTTAAAATTTACCGGGTATGTCCTCAGCACCCACATACATTTTTTCTCTTGATGCAGTACATACACATATATGTATGTATATTATATAACAGCCAAAAATAACAATTGTTGGCTGTGTCACACAAATACTTACATCAATATACTCATTCTGCATTCAGCTTCATTGCTACTCTTAATAATTTAATAATGAATTTAACAGTTTTATTCTTTATTCTTAATTTAATAGAATAAAAACAAACGAGAACATTCTGTATACATTTTGATAAATCTCCAAAACAGAATTTATAATATTGTATAATCATAGATGATCATATGGTATACATAGAACCTTGATGTCAAACCCAATTGACATGACGTCAGACTTAAAACTTGGACGGGTAACGGAACTACAACGTCCTACATACAAATAGGGGAATAGCGAAAGACTTCCAGACTCTATAAAGGGAATTTTATTTGAATAACAGTTTTTCTTTTTTACTGATACTTGCAATTATGTAATTATCCTGACAAACGCAATAAAAACCATCCACTAGATCTGGAAGATCTGACACTAAAAGGTTATTTTAAGATTGTACAAAGGTCTCTTGACAAGAAAATTGTTCTGCACAAACTATATCGGAAAAAAAGGAGGAGTTAATATAACAAAAGAAGAATGACTCCTGGGAGCTACAGTGTAAAATAAGGGCTAACAGAGAACTTATGGAGAAGCACTGCTCTGGGGTATATGGATAGATGTATAAAAAGTGGAAACTGGTCCACTACATGCCTGGCGTGTCAGAGCACGGGGAACTTACCAGAACATGATGGTGGCCACGGCATAGATGGTTAGGAAAAGCCAGATTATCAAAGGGTCACTGTGGAGTAAGACCCGGCCGTATTTCAAAATGGCCGTGAGGGCAGTGACCGAGATGGAGAGCTGGACAAAACCGGTGATGAACCAGGCAACCCAGTGAACTGCGTTGTTCAGACCCATCATCTTCATCACCTGAGGAAGTAACACAGGGCTCTTTCACCACTTTAGCTTCATATTCAGCTTAGAGATGCCTGGAACTGGAAAGGAGCTAAGTTCATGGAGGAATCAGTTATATGGGCCTCGGATTCTAAACCACAGTGTCTTACCTCTTTGAGCCGGTGCTCCTTCTCAGCCACGATGTGCTGAATCATCATGGCTACCGAGTAAACCCAGGATATCACCATGCACAGGGGCATCATGTGCTCGATCACAAAAAGAAAGCTGAAAGGAAAAGAGAAAAATTAAAAGAGAAAAATGCTTTTAAAGTGGAACATTCAAAACACGCAAACGTAACGGACATAAAATGCTAATTAAAATGTGTTCAAAGAAACCGTTTTTAAAATAACAAAGGAATCTTACTGTCGGCCATCTCTTTTGCCACTGACAAACTAACACAACACCTCCAAAATAGAGAATCTGCCAAGGGAAGTACGGTATGTATTATGTCTATGAAAGCTCTCTTCTTACTCATCTCTGGTGTAGCATGGGTAGGGGAACATCTGGACGTAGTTACCAGGCTCCACCACGTCGTGACCCACAAAAGAGTTGATGATGGCTCTCTCTATCATATCTGAAGCAGAGAGAGAAACCCGAATTAAAACAGGAGAGCAGCTGAATATAACTGAATTAAGGAAGTGTTTTTTTTCTTCCTTTTTTTAAACCAGATGCCCCTCCTGACACAACCCTCACATTTATCCAGGTTTGGGACAAACTGGCACAAACAGAATTGGGACAAAGGGGCTAAAAGAACACTTTGAGCCCATTTGTCCCCGAGCAACAGCCGACCGACATCGTGCTCTAAGCAGCGATCCTTATTTTCTCATCTCTGGATGTGCAATATTGAAACTAAACTCAGCTTTTCTGCACTTTTTTAGAGCTACATATATGGTGGAATATGGATTTTTTATATATAACACATCAAAACCTTTTTTTTAAGTTTAAAATGGGCCCAACTTTCATAGGTGTAAGTGTAAGTGATGCTTGATTAATTTAATGTACCTTATAGGTAAGTGATGCTGGATAATTCCACTGCATATGATGGGGTAACACACATATTAAATGTTTATCTATATATATATGGAATTTGCATATCAGTCATTCACCTTGAATCCACACAAAACCATAGAGAAAGTAGAATTTTCCCCCAGAGTTTGGTCCAGGACGCCAGTATGCCCTTCTTATTTCATTCGTCTTCTCGGTGAAGCTGGAGTTCTGTCTTATTTTGTAAAGAACATGAGGTGGCAACGACCCGTCTTTGTTAGTCTGGAAAATCACACCTGAAAAAGATTAGATCACAAATGCAGCATTATTAGTCATTTGAAACATTGAAGAACTGTGGTGTGATGTTTGGGCCATTTGTCTGCATATCTAAGTTGCTATTATGATAAACAGAGAGCTACATGAAAACCTTTTTAGAAAAATTAGAAACTTACATCCATCTTTTTCTATACAAAAAATATGTGAAGACATACCTGGCCAATAAAAGGATTCTGATTTAGAAATTCATTCAGTGAATAACTATTCATCAACAACTTAAAGAATGTTGAGGAATAGAGGTTTGTCACATAGAAATACTGACTATTAAAGTTGGTATATTTATACAGATTCAGATCTTTTGTGCAGGTCCTCTACCAGAGGCCTGGGGGCTTGAGGGTTTTCTTCAGTATCTCAGACGGTCCTAGAACTCGTAAATCTGTTGATTTAGTATTTAATTTTTACTTTTTTATGTAAAGATAATTGCATAACAGCAGGGACTCACTGGCAAACACAGACACGTTGTCATGGTAGGCCTGGTTCAGGGTATAGTTGACTATGCTGTCCTCATCTGGAAAGCCTTTGAAGACATCCACGCTCACCTGGAAGAACAGATAAAACGCACAAAAGTGATATAGCACAAAATGGTTCCACTTGATTTGTTTGCAGTATCCAGAGGAGACTGTATAATGAAGATTATTCCGGTTATCTATCTTTAAGCATTAGCTTTAATCTGATTGCAACAGAATTACTTTCAGAGCACCAACAGCAGAATGTTTGTGTGATAATATCTCAGAAATGATGCTGCGGATGGGCCCGCACCATGCTGACCTTAGACATAAAGCGGGACCAGCCGCAGGCAGCATTGTCGATGGTATCCAGCTGCTCCAGAAGGGTGGAGGTGTTGGGCAGGGTGTAGTTTCCCTCCATCAGACACTGCATCAGCTCGCTGTCGCTGCTGTTCCAAAGCCCAGGGTGCTGCTGCAGCTCCAAGGAGAGCTGGAAAGCAGAACAAAGGAGAACCATCACACTCAGAGGTGCATTCAAGCTAAGGCTCGGAGAAGAAAGCTTTGGGTAATGCCAGACATTTGTAACATTCAAACGGTTTTCAGAACTGAATCTACCTGCTGCAGCCACATCAGGTGACTCTGAAGTCGGCCCTCTTCCAGGAAAGTCCTGAGCTGGGCAGAGATGTTTAGCCAAACCCGGGTGTAATGCGTCACGTTTCCCACAAATGCAAACGTCTCGTTGGCCTATCGAGAAGAGAAAAAGTTGGACCATTAGCTTACTTTTTCTTCATCATAATGGGTTTCAACGACATGTGTGGACCAGGTACGGCTTTCTTTTCCTGGTCCGTCTCGAGGTTTTTGGCAGCAAACCTGGATTTTCACAAGACTTCATCCACCTACAATGAGATTTAAAGTGCTGTACTTCATCAAAGGTGGATGCTAAGGTGTTATATTTATTTTGTGCATTTAGTGGTCAATTGTTATGTTTGTTTAAAGACAACTAAACAAAATAAATGATGGTGCTCATTGATGATGAATTGGTTGACTGGATGCTAAATATATTTGCATACTAACTGCTTCTAACTACTGAAATTCAAGAAGAATTCTTTTAAATGTAGAAATAAATCCTGAAAAAACTGCAGGCTCTTCAGGCCAAATCCAATGGGCAAAACCACATTCTGCACAAACCTGCATACTTCTAAATGCAGTGTAAGCCATGTGATTTTTCCAAAAGCAAACTATGTGACATGATTACTATCTCACCAGGCATTTTCTATAGTGAAATCCCTTAATGCCAAAAAAGCTTACTGGGATGGGAAGGTCACTAGGAATGCCACAACATTACTGCTGTGGCTAAAGAAATTGAAAAGAACATGGTGGACACACTTTGTTACTCTGTGTCTGGAACACATGAACTGTGCTGCAACGTGCCTTTTGAATCACTTTGTCCACCTGCGAGCCGATGGGAGAGTACAGGATCTTAGGGTTTGTTGTCATCAAGTGAACCAGAAGACCCAGGTTCCTCTGCTCTTTGCTGGTGAATCCCAGAGAGCTCATATTCCCCTGCTTCAAAGCTTCAGGCTCAATAATCCTGCAATAACAACAATCAGCTTTATATTTATAATGTATAAATATATAAATGACAAGAAATGGTGAAAAAGACAATATCCGGTTTTATCATCTTTCCTTAATCTCCTCATTCATGTCTTAATTAATTTTTCCCCACGGATTATTGCAATTGAATTACCTCAAGTTTCATGAGTATTAAAGAAGTCCGGTGGAGGACGTCTATATTTCGGAATTAACATGTGATGCAGGGTAACTGACACATTTGTTTATTTGTGGTAATTAGAAAATTGCTTGAGGTTGAAATGCTAAGTTGAAAAGCATAGTCTTTTTATACTTTTTTGTCCCTTCAAACTATTTACATTATACATCATACTCAACTTTGTATGATCCATGGTCCATTTCCCTTTGTTTATTGGCTTTTTGACTTTCTCATAAAATCAGTGTAAAAAATAAGATTTTTGGTCCTTGATTCACATGATATTTTCTTAATTTGTGGATCATGTAAAGATAGTTTCATCCCACTAAAATGACCGTTACTGGGAATGAAGTGTGCAACTAACGGATGCTTTAAAAGAGTTCCGGATTTTCTGTTTCTGATCTTTCTCATCAAAACAACGCTGGTAAATATTACTCATTGGGTCCGTTTTCACTTCCATGCCCGCCTTGGTCTCACCTACCTGTTGTTTCCACACAGAATGGGCTGCAGTCCAGCCCACAGCTGGACAAACGCCGAAAACTGAGAATGGGGGTTCTCTGCTTCCTCCTTCCCTTTTTTGCTCTTCTCTCCTCCTCCGTCCCCCTCCTCTCCGGGAATGTCAGTCGTGTTAAGGCCCCATGAAGTGGCGTTGAAGGACCAGGTGGCGTTCGTGGGGGGTGCTGCTTTTTTCCCAGAGCAGGCCCCTTTTGGCAATAGCCGGGCCAGGCTGGACAGCAGGTCCACCTCTTTCAGGAGCCTCTCCACATCTCCCAGGTCCTTCAGCAGCCCCCTGAGGTGGGGCAGGGAGAGAGGGGCCAGCCAGTTGGGCTGCTCCAGATGGAGCTGGTAGGAAAGAAATATGGGGTAAGTAGAGGGGGGGGGTCGGGTGTTTACATTTATAATACATTATCGCATCAATTGCATCTATAGAAAAGTTACCTTGTAGAAATCGAATGACCAACATCCTATCAAAAACCTTTTATTTCAACATGACTTTGTACACCCAGCATCCCAAAATAAGAAACCCAGAGGCTCCAAAAGCTCAACATCATCAAGAGAACCGGCTATTGTACAGTACACCAGAACAAAAGAGGGGCTAAACATAAAAAAAACATTAAAGCTATTTATTTTTCTATTTCTTCAAGTTCTTTTTTGGCTTGAGTTGTACCTTCTCGGAGACACTGTGTGTGTTGATCTGCTCTCTCAGTTCCTCACTCAGCTGCCTGAAGCGCTCTGACCTCTGACCCCCTTCTCCGCCGCACACCGCCCGGTTGTAGGCCTGCAGGGCCGGCCGCTGCTTCTCCGAGACCAGCAGGATCTTCCCCAGCTCGCCGCCGCCGCTCTCCCCGCAGGTGAGGAGCTCCAGCATGGATCCGGTCAGGAGGAGCCCCTGTGGGGGGGAAGGATGCTCGCTTTGATCATGTGGAAAGACCCACAGGTTAAATACACGAGGACGTCCATCTGTGAGGAGGCTGACCACTGGATGTGTGAGACAGCTCTCACGATTAGAAGCCTGTTTTGTGATTCGATCTTTCTTTTTTTTTTTTAGTTCTCTTTTCTTCTACCTTATTCCTCTGTCAGTCTCGGCATTGTTATGTAACAGCAATAAATACATACATAAATACATATAATGTGAGAAATCTCTGTCATTTATGCAGATCCTCATGTCGGGTTTTGTGTCTACTCACCTTTACCTGAAGAACCTCGTCTCCAGACTCTGGTTTGGTTTCTTTCACCCCACGAACTATATTTTGGGCCTGTGGATTATCTCTGAGGGATGTGCCAATGATGAGATTATAAACCTACAAGAGACAGAAAATGAAACACACACGTGGGCTGTTTAGTGCGTGAGGCTCTCTGAAGGAATGCTGATGATGTGGTCAGTAAAGTCGAGATGTGATGAGTGAAGAAAAAACAGTGGTATTCGCAGTTGGACTCATCCTGACACATCACAAGGACACATCCAAGGAAATGCATCTCTTTCTGTCTGCAAACAATCATTAGAAGAGACATCCACCCTTTAGCAGGAAGTGACCCTAACCCCAACCCTCAGCAGGAAGAATGTAGATTAAAGCATGAAGAAACGTTTTGTGTGACTCCAACAATCTACAGTATGTAGAGAAGACTTTTTAAAAACATTTACAAAAAACGTACACAGTTTATGTTGAGAGATTTTTTTAAAAGCCTCTGAGGTGTCATATTCCTGAGATTTAGATAACTTTGTGATTAACTGGGAGAAAAAAAGATACACTGATTACTTACAAAAACCATCCATCCTGCTTAATTGAGAAACCGAGCTTACTTTATAGAAACTTTATTTAAGGAACTGACGATGCCTGTGTTATATGCTGACCAAACGTATTAAAGTTAGACATACAAAATAAATGTAACTAAATAAATTGTGAAATGAAATACCTATTGTAGAAAATAAAATAAAAATAAGCTACCACAGCCCTACAGCCTGGCCACTACAGCTACAACTAATGGTTTGAGATAATGCTCACCAGCTTTTGCTTGTTAGTCAATGATTACTTTTAAATGGTTCATGCAAACGTATCATACTGTTTATTGAAGACTAACCACTAGCTATGAGTAATCAACCAATCATTTCATCCGTCTGGTTCTGAGGCCATCCAGAAGCATCTAAATTAATAAACTGACCTCTGGTCAGTGGCAGTGGCACAGTCATGTGAGAGCCATTAGTCTAGTAGGTGTATGCAACTCCACACATGATCTAGTCCAACATAAAGGTGAAGTGGCACAGACGTTTGGGATTAAAGACGATGGTCAGGAGCCCTGGATGGCCTTTCCCTGAGCTGAGGGTGAGATGACAGACGCGTTTGGGTGAGAGTGAATCACCTTGCTGAGGCTGACCGGAGCGGTGAGCAGCATGCTGGCTGTAGAGTTGGACAGGGACAGGTTGCTGACCAGGAACTGTTGGAAAACTGACTGGTTCTTTAGCACGCTGGCCAGTGTGAAGCCTGCATATAACAGAAACATATCCTTTTTTACCCATCAATTCATTCCATTATGCTTAATATTATCCAAACACTTGTAGATAAATATAAAAAGTACAACAAATATTTAGATCATACTTTATTGTTTGAGTTTACACCTGAAAAATATGTTTTTCTTATCAGGCTCAGAAACTAAATGGAGAACATACCTATCCAGTATCTCATATTATTTGTCTTATTCCATAAACAGATCAACTGAGATGAAAGTGGAGCAAATATAAAACATTTGTGATATCAGAGTGTTTTGCTCAAAATTGCTTTGTAGGTGTATTTTAACAGAACTGATATCGGCTCATTTTTTATGACTTTGATCAGTAATACAACGTAATTACTGACTGTTTCATGCCTGATTGAACTTTAACAGCCTTTTCTATGATTTGGCAATCATTTATTTTTATTACAATAGTTCAGTAAATGGATTCTGCTTCAGACATAACATGGGATTAATCTGATTAACAATCACATGTAAATTAATTTGAATTAGTTTTCTAAATTGCATGTACTGACATCTGTAATGCTTCATAACGTCCTTCTGTTTGCTCAGCAGGAACTTTTTGTTACAGATGCATTTCTCCTACTCAAAATATCTTTCCCTCTCCATATTGCTCAATATGTCGTTAGGCTACTTATTGCTCATCTCCTAAAAGAAAGTTGTCACATATTTTAACATTGGTAGAAGTTATTAAAATAGCTTATACAAACCCTTTTCTATTTCCATAATGCTCATATTATCTTTGCTGTCAATTTCTATGCATATACAGTAAAACATACCAATATAGATATCAATGAAACATGTTCTGGCCGTGACAATCTGATACTATAAGTACTATGCTAACTACATTTCCATTTGCTAAGTTTAAGTTACGAGTTTGTCGAATCACTTGAGCTGAAGTTTAGGGTCAACATATAATTTACATCTAATTCAGTTCCATTATAAAATATAAAAGGTCCCAGTATGTTCCTATCATTTTGGAATAACCAAAAATAATTTAGTACTACTAATAATAATAATAACAACAATAATTTTATATACAATCAGAAATGTAATACTTGGCATATACACTGAGGCCTGAATCTTAACATCGGGCAGTGCATTAATAATAACTCGAGCCTGTTTTTTAAGCTGTAATGTGTTTAACAGGTAGATGGTCACATGGTCACAGCGCACTAGCAGACCTTGACTCTTGTTGAAGCTCTGGTCTGGTGGTAGAGGCGTGGAGCTGATGCTGTCCAGGTGTTGCTGCAGGGTCTCCAGCTCTCGGCCTAAACCGGGCCGGTCAGACATGAAGTACCGGTTCTGTTCAACTACTTCACTGAGCCGCTCCAGCAGCTGGGTCACTCTGACGGAGAGACGTCCAAACACAAAACACTTTTTCAATGACAGACAAACAGATGGTGTCACTCCTAGTCAAGTTGGCGGATCCTATCCTTAGAGGTTATGTTTCTTTTTCTGCATTTAGACGCTTTTATCCAAAGCGACTTACAAAGTAGACACAATGTTACAGTTAACATTAGTCCTTTAGAGGAAAATCCCCAGACAGAATCAGTGATGACAGCAAAGAGAGAGAGGGAAAAACAGAAATAGGAGTAGAGGGGGTCTAGAGGGGGGAGGGGGGACCAGGGCAAAAGATTTGGTGCGCATGAGAGAGGTTTTGTTTGACGTTTTCTTCCACATCCCTTTGTAGGCTCATCTGAGTGGCTGAGACATGGCATTTATCAGATGGCATTAAAAAAAACTCTCTGACCAGTCTAATGGCTCTCTCTCCCTAAAAAGTATTTTCTAGACCAGACTCCCTGTTGCACTGACTCCACAGCCTCCCACACCATTATTTCCTCATCCTTTAACCATGTCCCCCAGGGCTGCTGCTAGCTGGAAGATGCAGATTATCTGAAACACCTGCTGGGATTCAGGTGTGCTAAGAGGTCAGAGGTCAGGTTTTTAATGCAGAGTGACACTGAAAAACTGTAATAAGACATTCTCTGTTGGACTTATCTCGGGATCGTCATGGAAGAATATGAACACTAAAGAACAAAAACAGGTGTCTTGATAATGGAAATCGGTTCTGAACAGCTTTTACTCACGTGGAGTTCTTGTACTGCAGGAAGCCGAACTCGTCCCTTTGTCCGTCGGGGCACAGGGACTGCATTATGGGAATGATGCCAGCCGAGGTGAGCGGCGCGGCGCTGTAGAAAGCTGCGCGGGGAGGGAGAAACAGACCAAAGCAAAGACACACACCAGAGGAAAGGTTGCAACGGTGGTCAGCAGGAGGGTCACAAAAGAGCAAAAAACTCCAATCTAGTTTAAAGAGGAATGTTTAAGGTCAGTTTTCAAAGGAGGACAAAGAAAATAATTAAAAACAGAGAAAAAGCTGTGTGAGTTGGAATGGAGAAATATATTAGGAAGACCATAGCAACTAATGAAAAGGTTGTTAATGAGGCATCACGCAATGTGCAGGTTTTTAACCATTTAGTGCTTTTTTTCCCATGTTTATACTTATAAAGAATTGACAATACTTATAAAGAATTGACAATTGCAATTATACTAACATGATTACCCCCCCCCCACACACACACACAAACACACACACATAAAGCACGCACATAACGACACAGGCAGTATGTGCTCAGGGAAGCGTTAAGGCCAGGTGGCTGTGAGCTGACCCGAGGTCCTGAAGGGCCGAGTTTATCTATCACAGTTTCAGATGCCTGCGGCTATTTTAGAAAGGAGACAGAAATGTGTGAACGAGGGCTGCTTAGCGGGAACTTGGTTGTGCCAACGCACACTTTGCCCTTTGCTGTTTGATAAAAGACGATGCAAAAAGAGACAGAGCTGTGGCAAACCAGGGCTCGTCAGGGAATCTTTTGAGAAACCTTTCTCGACACAAATTCTTTCCTGCTTTTTTTTTTATTCACTGTCCGAATGACTTTTAGGCCAAAAAAGGAAAGAAAAGCCACATTGGAATATTTTCAAAGGTATAGAAAAGAAATCTGCCCCTCAAAATACGTTTAGATTAACAGAACCCTGAAATAGAATTAGCATGTTTTAGTGAGAATAAGAGGAATAGTTTATAGGTCTGTGTACTTTTTCTTAGAAATGAGACAGAAACAAAAATGGAAAACAAATCTAATCCTATTTTCTGATTTATAAAAACAATCAGAAATGTTATCTGATTTAATCCTTGATGGTGAATAAAAGTGTTAAAAATGAAGACGGCATATCTGTAGACATGTTATAAAGGCAAAACCCGGATGATGGATGCCTTTTTGTATTATCAAATAGTGACCAGGACATAAGCTGCTTTCCCATTTTTGTTTTTTCATTTATAAATCAAAGTCTGTTAGCTGCAAAGTACACAGGCCTTCATGATTCCTGTGAACCAGGATATGGTTTCCAGATGATGTAACACTTACACACTGTTCCATCCAACATGAGAAGAGCGAGTATCATGCACGGTGAATGGACAAAAAAACAGAAAATAATTAAAGACACACAGCCAGAAAGAGAGAAACAAACAGAACCGTGAATATGAGACCGAGGGATAATAATGGTGATAACACACTAATGGCAGCAGGTCATAGCAAACCTTCAAAGAACAAAGTGAAGCTGAACAACTCAGAACAAGACATAAAGGAATCTATAAAAAGACATTGGAAATGACGAGTCCCACATTTACAAGCGCCTAACTCGTCTTCTTTGTGGTAAATGATGCTGTAGTTGCTGTGTATAGTTTTATCATCTGTATAATATTTTTAACATCTCAGTCAGTCATTTAATACTTTTCTAAGTCAACTGTACATTGTTTTTCATTTATAAATACTTTCCTCTAAAAAAAACCCGTACAATAACACTTATATGTCTCCCTATTAATGCTAATGCACTTCTGGTTGGATGCTAAACTGTATTTTGTTGTGCCGTACCGGTGCAATGGCGATTTTAAAAAGCTGAATCGGGTCTATCGAACAGGAAATGTGGAGTGGGAGTGTTTCACTGCTGCACGTCTAAGTGGGTCCTGAACTGACATTAGGAGTGAGTGTGGGCATGTGCTGGCTGCCTGGTTTTGGGTTGTGGCATCATTTAAGGGTGTAAACTGACTAAAAAATATGCTTATGTGTTGTTTTATTTTGTCATTTGGGTGAAAATCAGAGGGGCTGAGACAGGTGAAGAAATGTTTGGAGGACCAAAAGATGGAGGGGAACATACTTAGATGTTTTGATTTGATTATGAAGATGTGTGTGGCAGTGTGTTAAAACATGAGGCCACAGGTGTCGATGCAAAAGCAAAGTCCAGGTGGAGCAGTCTGTAGAAATCTGTGTCCCCGACCTTCTTCGTCTGCTTACCTTCTTTGACAGGGATGGCTGGCTTCTTCTGCCTCAAACCCAAGAGGATGAAGAAGAGGACAAGCGGGATGAAGATCTCAAAGGCCAGCACCCACTGGAGAAACAAGAGAAAACAAATTTTACCTCACGGTCGTTGCATCCACTCACACCCGACCAACACCTGCTATCCTAAAGCAACATTATTTCATCAAGCCCTCTTTCTCAGCCATTTTATTTTCATAATTTATATATGGGTCAGTACTCCCTATATCAAAGAATGACATGATTCTTTCCTTAAAGTTGACAGGCCTGAAGCTAACTGCTAAATGAGCTTTTTTTAAATGGCTTTTCACTAAAAAGAACCTTAGTTTGGTGGTGAGTGCTCATAAACTGTGTTGAGATAAAGTGTAAATTTGGTGTTTAAAAACATAAAAAAGTTCAACTTTAATACACTGGAGCTGCCTGATTTTTGTTTGATTTGATCTCTCCAGACTTTCTCTGCTTAAACAGTCATACTTCATGTCCTTTAGCTGAGGTTTTCTTTTTCCAGTTCCCCATGAATTAAAATAAGAGGAGGGCCTTCTCTCAGAGGAGAGAAGGCCCTATAATGTGTGATCATTCATAGTTTGTTTGTTTCATTGTTCAGACAAAACAAGATGAACCACAATGTCTTCTGTGCTCATCTCAGACCCGACATGTAAACACGCGGAAACAAAGGCCGACTTGATGACCACGAAGGCCGCCATGAACAAACGGGCCTTTTAAACCGAGACAACAGACTACTGACCCAAAAAACAAAACCTCTCTTCTCAGATCATTACATTTATTCAAATCCTAGGGTTACGAAACTGATCTAAAAGAAACTATTGAGAGGGAACGTAATGTCACAGATGCACACACAGGATGTAAACCTTTAGTAGAAATAGCGGAATGGCCAAAGTTAAGGCTACAAACAGTGTTGAAGGCCTTCAAGGGGAAATGGTCGCCCACACTGAGGCATGGTTCTGCTCCAGGTTTCTGCCTCTTAAAAGGGAGTTTTTCCTTCCCTGTGTCGCCTAGTGCTGCTCTTGGTGGGAATTGTTGTTCCTCTGTAAATAACGTCAGAATCCAGTCGGACCTGCTCTGTTTGGAAAGCTGGGAGATACCTGTTGTTGTGATGTGGCGCTATAGAAATTGAATTGAATGGAACTGAATTGAATTCGTACTCAGGGGTGACGCTTGAAGGAATAAAGATATCTTCTTCCAAGCAGAATGCTCCTGTGTCCTGACAGGATGCCGACCAGGATTGGTTTGTACAAAATATGGCCTCCGCTGCAGCTTGTACTCAGCCTCTCACAGTTGTACCCATCAGGTGGCACTGGGACCATGAGTGGATATTTGTGTGTATTGGGGATGTGGCCGTTGGCAATCGTAATAAATTGAGAACATTGACAGCGCACGGTGTTACTGATGTACTGATCTACGTTGCTTTCGCTAAGTGGAGCCCTATTAGAACCCCACAGAGCCATGATGATATGAGATGTTTTTAGTGGCAAATGTTAAAGATGGGAGTGTCATCAAGCATAAATGGTGCATGTTTCTTTATGATTCTGCACCTTCTGCAGAAGCCATCCCAACAGATTTTAAAGGATCTTAAAATATCTAATTTGAATGCCTTTGAGTTCAATAAAATGCAGTGTGGGCTCTAAATAATCTGTATTGCTTAAAATGTGACTCATTTTATCATGAAGTATTGTATTTAACTACCTCACATGTATCATGGAAATACATGAAAATACAATGCAATACCTGGATCATGATAATGTGTACTAAAGCATAAGTCTTATTTTAAAAAACGTGGTATTTTTAGCCCAAAAACGGTGCTGGACACCAGTTTGCCTGGAACCTGTTGACAGTGCTTTGCTCCAGGTAGAAATGCCACCATTACTTTCAAATGGGGATGTTGTGTAAGATGGAAGAACTCTGTTGGCCAAAAGCCAGACCAATCGGGTAAAGTGTATTGGCTCGTCTCTAATTGTTGGCGAGCAGAAGAGAGATTTCTTTCTTAAAGTAGAAGCTTAACCAGAGACTAACAACATAAAAGCGACACAGTGAGACCACTAAATCTCTCTTTTTCTGGCTCAGGTTTATTCCTCCCTCTGAATAACTATCTTACTATGTTGTAATTTCTTTTTTACCTTCATCTTTTTTGCCTGTTTTTCTGGATAACAAATTTTAAAGAACCACTGTGTTTAACACACAGTGTTAAAACTGGCCCTAACCTGGATCATTTTTATATAACAGTTTTTCGTGTCCACAAAAGCTTGTTGCAGTTCTTGTGTCTACTTCTAGTCTGATTTCTAATGTAAGAAATGCTCAAATATTTCATTTTCTGACCCAAAAAACAGGGGGAAAAAACCCTACTGATGGCAACACTGTAATTGGAACTCAACCAAAAACAGCAGGCAGTTTTAAAGATCCTGCTGACTCAGGGACAACTGAGACCTAAGCACTTAGAAAGAGCAAATATCTTCAAAATACAAACAGTGGCAAGCACTGGGTTTTCTGATGCCCGAAGCCAGAACATATTGATAACACTTAGATTCTACAGAGACAACAGATCTTAAAAGTTACTTAATTTCTAGTAATTTCAGAACTGGTGGTGTATTTACAGCTTTAAGCTGTGTTGTCATATGTCCTTTGTGTTTTTACCATTTTTGGTTATTTCCACCACCAACCAGGTGATATAGGCTAGTTTAGAGGACGGTGTGTGCCTGTGGAGTGGTGGCCAGTCTGTAAGTCTCACATTAATTTCCACAAGCGATGCGTCCTCCCCGCCTGTTGTAATTTGCTAAATGTTCTCCATCAGCCACCCCTGCCCCCTCCCACCTCTATGCTTTCACACATCAAACCTACCTGCAGGCGCACTGATCCTGGAAAAGTCCCATGTGAAAAAGTCAGAATGGATATTAAAAATACATTCCTATTTGTATTAACCCAAAGAGTATGTACCCAATGTATTTAATCAGGTATTTAACCTTTGGACCCTGAACAGGTCGCCAGGCCATCACGGGGCCACACAGAGACACACAACCACCCACTGGCATTCACTCCTAGAGGTCATTTACTCAAGCTAACATTAGCATTTGTGGATGGTGGGATGAAGTGCACAGAAAGAACCCGCGCAAACAGGGGGGAGAAAGGTTCAGAGTCCACACAGAAAAAAAGAAAGTAAAAAGGCGTCCCGTCGTTTTGCGGCTGGATCTGTATGGTTGAATAAAAAAAAGAGGTGGGCGAGACTAATCAAAATGATTACCGGTTCATGCAATCTGAGGCTAAAATGTCCGACACTAATACACACAGACACGATCTTCAGTGTGTCGGGAACTCAACCGGGATTGGCTGCCTCCTCTCAGGAAGCACACAGCAGCACAAACAGCTGGATCCTATTACAGGTAAAGCAACAGCGGGAGGACCATTATAAACCGGCAACAAGCACTTAGTCTGGTAGTTCATTCTAGAAAGGAAATGGAAAACTGTCATCCATCTATTAGCTCATTCTAGAAATGAAATGGAAAACTGTGATCTATCTATTAGTTCATTTTAAAAAGGAAATGGAACACTTTGAACCATCTATCTATC